ATTAAGTCTCAAGATAACAGAAACCACATTGCTGCTGTACTGGCAGAAAATGATGTTGAATGTAGAGACTTGAATTCAATCAGCCATGAGGACACAAAGATACTAAGTAAACATGTTGAAGAAATTGTGTTATCTGCAATATCTTACTACTTGATGAATACCAAGGATCCAGAATATCGGAATCAAAAGCTTGTAATATCATCTGAGAGGTAAGAATTTGGACCAGTTGTTTATTTGTTTAAGGAAAACATGTTCTCGGGACTAATCTTGGGAATTCACAGCTTGTGCCATGGTTTGGATCTATTTCGCAAAAAGGAAAGCAGTGACAAGGGAAAGAAGCAAGGGACTAGTGTAAAGAAGCAAGAAACTAGAGGAAAAAAGGTATGTTTACATTCAAACGCATGAGTAAGAGCGAAATGGATCAGGACAAGACATTCCAGAGAATAAAAAGAAAAAAAGAGATTACATGGATGGTGAAAGACTAATATAGAGATTTATGCAATAGGACTTAGCTGGTTGAGAGTGCAATTATGCACAAAAGGAGCGTTTAACCAATGTTGTGCATGGTTACTTCATTCTGGTATTTCAGTTTTGGTTTAATTTTGTGCTGGCAGGAAGTTCGTCCAGACAATCAGCATGAGGGGCACATAAGAGAAGAACTTATCCCTGCGAATGAGGTAGGAGTTACATTCTCAGATATTGGTGCTTTAGAGGAAATTAAGGAATCACTACAAGAGCTAGTCATGCTTCCACTTCGAAGACCAGAGCTCTTCAAAGGTGGGCTTCTTAAGCCTTGTCGAGGCATATTGCTCTTTGGACCTCCGGGTACTGGAAAAACAATGCTTGCAAAGGCAATTGCAAATGAAGCAGGAGCTAGTTTCATTAATGTCTCCATGTCTACCATCACATCAAAGTGCTTTGGAGAATCTGAGAAGCATGTCCGTGCTCTGTTCTCTCTAGCTGCAAAGGTTTCTCCGACTATCATTTTCATTGATGAGGTTGATAGCTTGCTCGGGAGTCGAGCAAGATGTGGAGAGCATGAGGTTACGAGGAGGATTAAGAATGAATTCATGACCCATTGGGATGGTCTATTGACAAAACAAGATGAGAGAATTCTGGTTCTTGCAGCAACCAATAGGCCATTCGACCTTGATGATGCAATCATAAGGCGATTTGAGCGAAGGTATATGTGTCTTCATGGTAGTTTTCTTTATTCACTTCTGATTCTTTTGTTACTTTTGTCTGAAGAACAAATGCATACATGACCTTTATTAGTAGTTACAAACTCATAAGGAAACAGAAAGATTAGTTTTCAATAAGTTAATTTTTAGCCTTCAAATGATCAAGACGTTACACATAACATACCAGTGACACCTTTCAAGGACAAACACTTTTGTTACTTTCTATATTTTCCCAACTCTTCAGGTAAAACTTCTAATCTCTAACCATTCTTATTTTTATGAGTCCTTGCTTTGTGCTTGTCCAAATTGTTTCTTGCATGGATAACTAAGTCTCAGTCTCAATTTTGCATGAGTATGCTATAACCATTCAGAAACTCTATAAAGAATCTCTTGGAAAATTTATCCTGGCTTGATCTCTTGTAGCATTATTGAATAATTCAATTTTTAAATCCACATTGTTATGATTTTAGGATTGATATCTTCATAAGTTTCAATGTTGAGCAGAATCATGGTTGGTCTTCCATCAGTTGAGAGTAGGGAGATTATCTTGAAAACTCTGCTAAGTAAGGAAGATACTGAAAATTTAGACTTGAAGGAGATTGCAGTCATGACAGAGGGATATACTGGAAGCGACCTCAAGGTTTCTTAGTTTTGTCTTTCCTTTTCATATTGTGATTCTACTTTACTACTTATAACATTTGGCCACCATCTCGTGACACTTAATTTCTTTTGAATAGAATTTATGCACTGCTGCTGCTTATCGACCTGTTAGGGAGCTAATAAAACAGGGGAAGTTGGAGGCTTTGGTAATGTTACTAACCAAACTTGACAATGTTGGCTTGTTACATCATGTCAATGTGCCCTCTCATTCTAATTATCATCTTTTAGCTGACTAGCATAAAATTTCTCTTATTTAAGGAGAAGAATAAAGAAGAGGCCGAGGGCCAAAACTCAAAAGCTGCTTCAAGTGCCAAAGAGGATACAAAAGAGAAAGTGATTTCCTTGACTTAAAACATCATCTCACCACGCCTTCTCAACTTAATCATTATCTCTTAGCTGACTAAGCCAACATAAAATTTTTTCTTAATTTAGGACAAGGGTAAGAAAGATGCTGAAGGTCAAAGCTCAGAAGCTGCTTCAAGTGCTAAGGAGGACAAAGAAGAGCCCGTGATTATCTTGAGGCCTATAAATATGGAAGACATGATTCAGGCTAAGAATCAGGTAAGGTTAACCTAAAAAACCCCCGCAATTTATATGGATGACTATGATCTTTGCTTGATTTAGGCCTATACTTTTTCTTCTCTTTCTCTTCAACCATTATGGGAAAATACTTGCTATAAATGGATGTTTGTGTAAATAATATGGGGCTGGTTATGCTTTTAGTGTTCATTGATAATACCATTTGATCTCGATTGAATATTCAACTAACAAATGTCCTTAGTCCATTGATTTTGGAAACTCTTTAGTTTTCTTTCTCTTGCACCGTTGTGAGAAAATACTTACAACAGGTTAAGATTTCAGCCCATAGCCTAACCTACCTAAATTATTTGGTAAATCTGAGATTGCTACAAGAGATCATATATTTGTTGAATGTCCTTTCTTCATTGCCCTAGAAAAAGCTTACTCATTTATCAATGACACATGTAGAAGAATCTAAATCTTAAATTTTCCCACAGGTTCCTGCAAGTTTTGATGCTCACGGATTAATTAGGCATGAGTTGAAGCAGTGAAATGAGCTGTATGGAGAACGAGGTTCGCGGTAGGTATATCACTTAAATGAATTCCGGTTGGAGCAACTTTTAGTAGGAGAATGGTTTATCGTAGAAATAAGACCTAGTTAAATGTATTTCAGTTAATATCCTTCTCTGATATCATCGGATTAACTTCTATTAAAGCAAGACATTGTCATTTTGACGCCTATGCTTGGAGGACAGTTCCAAGACACTATCACTGCTCAAGACTTATAATGAGAAATGAGAAGTAAGCTTGAGATATATGTTTTGGTTGTTTGTGCATGTGAGCGTTTAAACGCATTTAATAGTTTGATCCTGTTGGGCTTCGAGATATATCTTATTCTTTTAAAAAATAATTAAGGGCAATAAGCCTATGCACATAATTATTCTCCACTCAATGCCATCCCACTGAGTCAAATTTCAAGTGATAAAAAGTAGGAACTTTTTTCCCCCCCCCCCCCCCCCAAATTAGAGTGGAATAAGAAAAGGAGCTATAAGTATTTGACACGTAATCACCTCATCTTTCACTTGTTGCTTTAATATAGTGCACCTAAGCATTTATTTTGGTTCCTTAGGTCATATTCTTTCTCTATGTTTGAAAAATTAAAAAAAAAAATTCATATTCTTCTTGTTCTAGCTGTGCTTTTGTGTGCTTATTGACAATCACAAATGGTTTTGTCCTGATATCCTTCTGTATTGTTTTATCAAAAAGATGCTTCTATTTCACAAAAAAAAAGAAGAAGATATCCTTCTATGTTGTAAATTGTAAGTGATGCCTGCTTCCAACTTAAGGCTTGGTACTATTTTTTAAAAAAATTATCTTTATAATATTAACAATCAAGTTAAATTTTTATAATTATAAGAAATTAATGATTTTAATATATAATACAAACAAAACAATTATAAGGGATATCATAATTTCAGTATAAATATGGGAAGTTAAATAATTAAATGAACATTATTAACAAAAGTAATAATATAATGTATTTTGAAGCTATATTAGGATTAAATATTTAATTTTCTAAAAAAATTAAAAGAGTGAGGTCTGGTTGCCGACGTTGGTATAGAGTCAATGATGGTTCTCCCCTGAATAAAAACAGTACGTGTTTTCTTTGCATGTTATATAAAATTGTGGAAACGGGATGGATTCCTTTTTTTTTTTTTCCCCTCACTTGATCAAAATTTTAATAATCCAAATTTAATATTTTATAGGCTATTATTATAATTTTAGACAAATAATATGTAAATGAACGTGACCAATTTACTATTATTAAAATCTTCTATAAGGTATTTTTTTATTTTACTATTATTAAAAAAGACCCAGACTTCAAAAAATTATGGTTCAAATAATTATAAAAAAATCATGCCTATTTATAAATACTAAGGTATTACTGAATTTTAAAGGATTTCTTGTCCAATGTAAAAAAGATTATCGCCTAGCACTAGAAACTCTAGCTTTATTAATTTCATTGTAGCCGGACAAGAACTTTTTTTCCCCCTTTCTTTTTAAGGCCACGTTCAGTTAAACACCAAATAAATCAACGGTCATATTTGAGTATCACATGGTCAAGACGGAATAATTCTCCATTTTCTCCTACGCTTTAAGCAATTGGCGTGAAACTTGGACACCAAGAAAACAAAAGAAAGAAAGCTTCTTTGTCTTCTTGGAATTCATTTCACACCGCTAACTCAAAGGCACGTGTATGTCTATGTTTGTGTGTGTGCGTCTCACTCTCTATATATATACATATATGGAGGCGAGAGGTGAAAAGGGTCACATATAGGCCATAGCAGCAACCACCAATTCTTTACTTCTCTAATCCCCATCTCCAAATAATAGACATCTACCTTAGTAGTCACCTGAGCTTATTCTACCAAATTGGTCTCCAGTTCGAGTCTGCATGAACATAAAAGACACCTTTAGAAGAGCTGCCTTGTGTATCCCAAACAGTACTTAAATCTGATCCAACAGTACTAGATATCAGACGCTGTATCGAAAGTTGAAGCCGTGATCAGCCTTTAGACCACGTATGCATCTTCTTCTATCACAATTTCAGAAAAAAGTATGAAAAGAAGCAGGAAAGATATGGAGCAGAAGAATGTTTTGCTGTCAGCATTAGGTATTGGGTTTTGGTTTTGGAGCAGGGCTTGGATTCAGTTCAGGCTTGGAGGGAATTCTGATGAAGAAGAAGATCTCTGGAATGAGCACGTTAAGCAAGAACTTATGAGGCAGGTTATTGATGGGAAGGAATGCAAAGAAACTTTCCAAGACTTTCCTTATTACTTAAGGTGATAATATTAACTTAGTCACTTTCTTCATAAGATTAGTCTTGTGAAAAAGGCACAATGAAGAAATAATTGGTATTTACTTTAAGGTTTTCGTCATATTTAGAATTATCATGTTCAGTTACAGATTTTACACATATTGTAGCTGTTAATTCTATTTGTGCTAATAAAAATATATGATGCTGTTTTTTTTAACCCTTTAAAATCATAACATGAGCTGAAACAGGGCAACCTCATAATATAATTCTTATTTATTCCATTGCATTAACAGTGAAAGTAGTCGGCAGTTATTGATGAGTGCTGCATTTGTTCATCTAAAACAACTTATCTTCTCTAGACACATCCGGAACCTTCCACAAACAAGCAGGGCAATCTTACTTTCTGGTCCAACAGGTATGTTATGCATATTTGTCCCTGGTCCTTATCATAAGGCACCTTTTAGAAAGAACACAATCCTTATTACTACTTCTAATCCTTAAGATAAGAACTAGTTTGACATTCAGTTTGATCCTAAATATAAAACCCCAATTCATTTTGTCTCTCGTATTTATTTATTTATTTATTCCTAATATAGTCTTTGTAGTAGGTGCACATATTAAATGTTTCACCAAATGGTAGTTCTAGCAAATATATATGATTAAGGAGGATATTTTAGAAAAGACAATACGTATTTATATTGAGAACTGGAGGCATAAGTTATTAAGTAGGTTTTGATTTGACTTTTCTTCATTGGCTTCTTGAATGAAGTGTTTTTCTATTGCTTTTCCTTAATACTCAATTTCCCATGCAATTATTCCTCCATCTCAATGATTTGTGATAACAATACATAGTTTTAAATATGAGCATGGTGCAAAATATTTTTGTCATTAAACCAAGTTAATGATTCAACTAGCCTTTCTTGATTCCAGTGAGGTGATTATAGCATAAGTGCTTTATAATAAGGGCAGGAGGAAAAAATAACTCATGAGTTTGGCACATAATTGTTTGGGTTTTCATGCATGTTTGACTCATTAGCTTTCTTTACAAATTTTGAAGAACTTTACCTGCAAACAATTGCCAAGGCTTTAGCACATCATTTTGAATCAAAGTTGCTGCTACTAGATATTGCTGACTTCTCTTTCAAGGTGATTTGCTTTCACATTTTCATATAATTTCTTTAAGTTGAATTAGCAAATATATTTGTAACTGACCTATTTCATTATTTATAGGTGAGGAGAAAATATGGATGTGCAAGAAAAGAATCAGTAAGTTTTTCTGCTCTGCATTTACTGTGTTAGTTTGTTTCTTTTAAATATGGATTGACAAAATAACAAGCATTTATGTTGGTTTGTCATGTCATTTTCCTTAACCCATTTTATTTGTTTAGTCTTCTAAAAGGTCCTTATCTGAGGTGGCTTCCAAGAGATTGGCCAGTCTGTTTCGTTCCTCTTCGACTAGTGAAGCTGAAGGTAAGAAAGGAAGAAACAGCACTCTGCTTCAAAAATTCTGATATTTCTTAAGTTGTATTTTTATAGGGAGTTTAATTGCATGTAAAATCAACATAATTAATACTCCATTTAGTTCTAAACATAAGAAATAGATAATTATCTTACAAGGATTGAAAAAATCAGGTAAGCTAATTATTTATAATAAATATTTGTTGGTTTCACTAAAACACCCTATATATTCATTTACATTAGAAATTATCCTTATTAATAAAAACTCCCTTTCACACGTGCAATCATAGGATTGGTTGGAAAAAGAATCATAAATTTGTGAAACAAATTAGATTAAGATTTGGATGTAAAACTAAAATAGATTCTACAACTAGCTCTTATATTTATAACAAGAGAGAATAGGACTTATTTAACTATGTATGACAGGTAGAACATTTAGTAGTGATGCAGTATTTTAATATGAATATACACAAAATTCAAATGTTTGATTTACTAATTGCTTTGAATCTCCATTCTCAGATCCCCCCAAGAACAAAAGTGACATGTGCATGGATGAAGAATTCTTCATGCAGTTGCTTTATAAGGTGATGTCATCATGATTTCTTTCACCAACTCTAATTTGTTCTTTAGTTGAAAACTACCATAATTGCAAGGCTTTCCATGAAAACGTATATGACAAGAAAGATAAATAATAATTCTCGCAGGTTTTGGTTTCTGTCTCAGAAAAAAGTTCCATCATATTATACATCAGGGATGTTGAGAGGATTTTCCTAGAATCAGAACATTTGTATAAGTTGTTTCAAGAAATTCAGAAACTTTCAGGGCCAATTTTGATACTTGGTTCCCAAATAACTGATGTTGAAGAATGGTCGACAGATGAATTGCTGGGAAATGGGTGCTTACCAGATGAATTGCTGGGAAATGAGTGGTTACCATGTTTTGTTCCACCACCAGAAGTTGGTGCAGAAGTTGATGAAAGGCTCGCTGCATTCGCTGCATTATTCCCTTACAATATTCAGATCAAACCTCCTAAAGATGAGCATAATCTTCAAAACTGGAAAACCCAACTAGAGGGTGACAAGAAAACAATTCAGTCTCAAGATAACCAAAACCACATTGCTAAAGTACTAGCAGAAATGGATGTTGAATGTAAAGACTTGAATTCAATCACCCACGAGGATACAGAAGTCCTAAGCAAACATATTGAAGACATTGTGGTATCTGCAGTATCTTACTACTTGATGAATACCAAGGACCCAGAATATCATAATGGAAAGCTTGTAATATCATCTGAAAGGTACGAATTTGATTCAATCATTTTTAAGTATTTGTTTTACAGAAAAATAGTTTTAGTTACTGAGATCTTGGGAATTTACAGTTTGTGCCACAGTTTGGGTCTATTCGCAAAGCAATATTGTCAATGATACTCAGAAGACAGAGACTGTCAATCATACTCAGAAGACAGAGACTGATGGAAAGAAAGTATGTTTACATTCACTCTATTTAGATAGATCAAAATAGATCAGCACAAATGCTTCCATAGAGTGGTTATCAACACAATGGGAATTAGCTTGTGGAGAGTTCAACAAAATGAAAAAAGTGTTTAACTAATACTATTTTTTTTTTTGTTGGCAGGAAGTTCCTCCGGACAATAATTATGAAGCGAACATGAGATCAGAGCTTATCCCTGCAAATCAGATAGGAGTTACATTCGCAGATATTGGTGCATTAGAGGAAGTTAAGGAATCACTCCAAGAGCTAATCATGCTTCCACTTCGAAGACCAGAGCTCTTCAAAGGTGGACTTCTTAAGCCTTGTCGAGGTATTCTACTTTTCGGACCTCCAGGAACCGGCAAAACAATGCTTGCAAAGGCAATTGCACATGAGGCAGGAGCAAGTTTCATCAATGTCCCAATGTCTGCCATCACATCAATGTGGTATGGAGAAGCTGAGAAGAATGTCCGAGCTATCTTCACACTGGCTGCAAAGGTTTCTCCAACTATTATTTTTATTGATGAGGTTGATAGCTTGCTTGGGCAAAGAGCAAGATGCGGAGAGCATGAGGCAACGAGGAGGATTAAGAATGAATTCATGACCCATTGGGATGGCCTGTTGACAAAACAAGATGAGAGAATTCTAGTTCTTGCCGCAACCAACAGGCCATTTGACCTTGATGATGCAATCATAAGACGGTTTCAGCGAAGGTAATATGTCTATATCATTGTTTCTGGTTCATTTTATCATTTTTATTTTAAAAACAATGCAAAGAATTTTCAGTTTGAAATTTTTATAACTTTCATTTTTGAGCAGATTCATGGTTGGTCTTCCATCTGTTGAGACTAGGGAGATTATCTTGAAAACCATGCTAGCCAAGGAAAATACTGAAAAGTTAGACTTCAAAGAGCTTGCAATCATG